AGATTTATAATTATGTTGCCAATAGTATAATTGGACAAATTGAATTAAAAATTGAAGGTGAAAATTAGAAGTGCCTATGTGGATGTTATATATAACTTCAATGATTCATTTTAATTATTAGAAGAGAAAACAGTGCGAGAATATTAATTCAAATTCAAATGAGTGACTTGGTGTGTTTGGATTTTAATTGACAAAAATTGGTGTCGGAAAAAATTGATTAACATAATGCGGTGATGTTTGGACAGAGATAGATTTAGGGGGGCAAGCAAGGGTGGTCCTCCCCCCCACCCCTTCCCATGTGACAATTTTTTTGCAAAATTTACTTAGTTTTTACTTGTAAAAAATGAAAAAAAAATTGGCCCCCCCATTATTATGTAATTTCACATTCCCCTCCCCCACCATTGTTTCTAGATCCGTCCCTGTGTTTGGATAAGACTTTCTGAAATTGATTTTGCAAAATAAATTTATCAAATGAAGGAAAAATTAACTTCTTCAAAATGGAATTATAATAACTAAATGGAGTTTGGGAAAATTGGAAGTGTTTGGTTAACTTCTACAAATGGAGTTTCAAGAACCAAATAGAGTTAAAAAAATAAAAACTAGGAATGTTTGGATGACTTTTTTTCAAAACCAGGATTTTGAATCCCAAAATTGATTTTAGACAGTATCCAAATAGGCTCATGGTTGTTATTCTTAGGCTCAGTGATTTGATTCCCAACTCTTATGTTTTATGTGGAACATTTATGATTACAATTGGTTTTACCTTCCATATCTTGAGAAAAATTAGTTTGTATTGTTGGTAAAAGATACTCTTCATCCTATAGAGAGAGAAATAAACTCAAATTAACAAGCATAAATGGTAGGAGCTCTAAACAAATGATTGGAGGCTTGATTCTTAACATTTATGTATGGAATAAGTTTAATTAGGATGAACTTGTTATTTACTTTCTGCATATAAAGATATATTAGTCTTTATTGTTAGAGAAAAATCCTCACGAGAGAGAACACTTGACTAGTATATAGAGAAATTTTTATTTGAATTTGGTGCATCACATCATTCATGCTTTGTCCAATAAAAACATATTATGTCCCTTGAATTGATTGGATGATCAGAATTTATTTGAAATTAATTAATCATTTTTTCATCCAAAATTGAGAGAATGAACTCAACATTGATTTAAACTCAATGAAGTTTCGTTATTTGAAATTAATAAACACATATGCTTATGTTTTCGCATGTTTGTATAGGCGTGAAATTTGATCAACATCTGTCATATTTTACTAACTTCTATAAAGTACTATGATTAATTAGGGCTGGCTGGCTAGCTAGCTAGCTAGTTCGATACCCATAATTGAATGAAATGAATAAAAGGAGATATATAGAATGAAAAATGGATATTAATTTACGGATAGTAAAGTTGTTACGCTTCATATATATATGTGTGTGTGTGTGTGTGTGTGTGTGTGTGCGCACTCGTCCATAACTTTCAGAATTCAAATGTCATTACTTTTTATTCTTCATTTAGATTTAGTGACAAAAATGCTTCAAATAAATCACTTCATATCTTAATTTTAACAGAAGTATAAAGAATGTCCAATGATGGAAGAATTTAATTAATATTCACTTTTCATGGTTCTTTTTAATTCTAGAAAACCTGGAAATCTGGGGCATTACTAACACCCATCTAGACCACTGTCCCTTTATGTGGAATTGTTACCAACTATAGCCTTATGGAAATTTAAGGGATGCTTTTAGCATTTTTATTTAATACAATTATATATTTCAAGACTTGAACTTGAAATATCAAAAAAAGTTAATTTAACTCTCTCGACCAATCAAATCAAGTGCACTCACTTATTCTTCATAGTGGTCGACCAAGAGAAAGTGGGGGCAAAGGGAGACAAGGGGGAATATTAGCAACGGACCTTGTAAGCAATTTAATTTTATAAAAAGTCTGCTAACAAATAAACATTAACAATTAACAAGTATTCAATTCATTCAGGTTCTTAATAGGTATTAAATTCTTTCAAAAGTCCTTCATTGATATTCTCCCAAAAAAAATACAATGCAATCTATCTTATTCTCACCAACTTTATAAGGCACTATTGTCATCCTCATCCCTAATTAATTTTTTATCATTGTTTATATAATACTGCTATTAATTTTCAGTAAGTATATGTCTTTATTCAAATAAACATAAATTATTACTTGTATATTGATTATTAATATTCTTGAAAGCTGATTCTATATGAAACCTGCTTATGACTACTCTTATTTAGTTTCCATAATCATATTGACGTCAGTGTTAAAATACTTCTATATTGTAATGACAACAGATTATTACGGCCATAAATAATCTTTTCTTAAGAATGCATATGATTAATTATGACAACTAATTTGACACCGAGAAAACACTAGAATTTTTTTAATAAAATATAATCAAAGTAAAAAAAAATTGAGTGGCGACTTTGAATATTTCAACTATCACTTTTAATGGTGACTTATGTCATTAAACGAAGACCAATTAATTTTCTTTTCGAATGACAATCCCCAACTATCTTTCTCCAAAAATCGCATTTCGCTCCGCCCATATGATTTATATAAAAGGAAAAAAAAAAAAATCAATGTTGCCTTAGTGAAAGGAAATAGAATAACGTTGAAGAATTAATATGCAAAAAAATGATATGAGGGGTTGGGTTTAGCAAAATGAACTAATTACTCACAGTGTGCTGAACAAGGTTTGAATCTCTATGGGAATATGTTTCTACATTTAATGCCCAATCATGTCTCAAATAAAATCGTCTTCAATAGAAAGATACTTAGAAGCAATAAAAAGAGAGAGAGAGTTTTGTATCAAACATATGATATAAGTTATTGTTAGCTAATTTCTGTTTTTCAAAAGAGTTGGTTAAAATTTTAATTCTCTAAAATTTTTCACATATTTCCAATCGTATCCTTCAGTAGAATAAATATAACATTTAAATTATTCAAAATATTTTCATTAATTAATTACTTGGGTAGAATATAGTAAAGTAAAGGTACAATTAGGAAAATATATATATATAACCTACAAAATGTCTTATATTTTAAGCTGAACGGGGCTTCTAAAATATTGTCGTTGGGAGGGAGTAAAATATATAATGAGAGTGAAGTAAAGTTATGAACAACAATTGAGCTTGGTGAAATTTTTGTGTTGTATTTCGTGCTGAAAATATTAACCCTTATTAATTAGCTATTTGAGAGCATTCTATGAACGCTGAAAAGATTATCTATCATAAGTTGCGGGTCAACTTATGAGAAATAATACCTTTATTAGATTATCTACGAGTGTGCCTATTAATTATGAGTTTAAGGTCAGCTAAAACCTAAGAAGATAAGTTAGTGCATTTAGGTAAGATCATGTTCATTAGAAACAGGAAGGGAAAATGGAAGAGAAAAAATAGAAAGGAGAGAGAGGAAAAAAGTGATTCATATTCAATCATCAAAAGTCTGATTATAAATGAGAACCTAGGATTATTTATAGAGTATTGAAAAGATTAAAATAATAATTCAAATACTGATCTATACCTAAATAAAGGGATGACAATAAAATGATCTAGCTAGTCTTAGTATCTTATTTTACTTAATATAATTAATTTTTAATTATTAAAGATAATAAAAATAAAACCCTAGGTGCTAAATCCTACAAAAATCAAATAACTTATATTTCGTCACATATATTGGAATGTCCTTATGTGAATTAACTTGAGTCGATATGAAAAGTTTCATATTAGATTGACTTTGTCTTACAATAGATTACATATATATATATATATATATATATAATGAAAATATATGTAAACTTCATCTTAAAGTTTTGAGTTAAAATATAATGTAGATTAAATGTAGACAATAAGATCAAATTAAAATAAGTCACTCTATGATCTCTACTATGTGATCCCCGTGGGGCGGGGGCTCTCTCTGCCTCCTATTTACTTTAATTTGTTTTTGCACTACAAGCAGTTTTATGGTCCCACCAGTTCATTGAATTGGCTAGCTATAAACTAATTATTATTAGCTATTATGTAATTTATTATTTTATACTATATTTATTCTTATTTATAAGTCACTTATAGTATTTTCAAGGAAAACCTCAAAACTCATTAACTCTATCTAAAAATTTAATAACTTTTCAACTTTATCTTCATTAAATATATCTATTTTAAAAATAAAATACTCTAACATTTAATAAACTTCCCAACTTTAATAAGGAAAAAATGATAAATATGAATATAATAATAATTGAAATACTCTATAAATAGAATTAAAGTAAACATTCTCTTTCTGCCTTATAAATAAAACTAAAGGAGTAATGTGTCACTTTTTTTGCATAATCACTTACTCACCCCCCAATTTGTGATCTTCCATTGCAGAAAATTTATGAAGGGTCACTTTAAGATATACATTGCTCTTTATCATGCCTTTATTTTCATTGATTCATCTTCAATAGTTACATTAATAATTAACAGATGATTCATGATTTATTGTAAATAACTAAATATGACTCAAACGATCCATCTTATATTTAATGCCCATGCTATCTGAGTCTCACACATGCATGCATATATATAGAACGACCATTAATTGCTTTCTTATAATTATAATACGACCCTTATTTCTCCCATGATCACTTATATATAATAATACGGATTTGGATCCTCTCCATTCTTTCTCTCAATACATCTCTCCATACTCAATCTCAACTATTCATTTAACTATTATTTTGGTTTAATGGTGCAAATTTGCTAATTATAGCATGAAAATAAATATAATATTCATTTAATGATTACCATTGATAAGCATTGTAATCTTATTTCTGAAAATATTTAAGCGATAAGAATGAATAATCTATTTATTTTATTGCCATAATTAGCAATCTCACACCATTAAACCAAAACAATAGTTAAATGAATAGTTGAAATTGGATACAGAGAGATGTATTGAGAGAAAGTATGGAAAGGATCCAGATCCATAATAATACAAAGTAAGATTGGGCCGATATATACAGCATAATCAAGCATATTCTTCATATATCAGCAAAGACCAAGAGATATATCACATTTTGCAATCCACATGACGATATATAGCTAGCTAGCTAGCTAGCTACGTTATTCAATCTGCATGCCATTCATACGATCGATAAAACTCTCTGATTATTATTGTTTCTCTTCGAAAGTTAATATAATAATATTCGAAAGTTGAATCAATTTTAAAACAGGAGATTCAGCTTATATATAGTTGATACCCTAGCTAGCATATATATATATATATATATATATAACTCTGGCTCTCAATCAACTGACTTCAACAGAGTCGTTCTCAGCTTTTTCACGAGTTCCTTCACTGGTATGCTGTGTTCCTCGTCAACCTACGTACAGAGATACCATGACAACAAATTAAATAATTCATCACATTAACATAATCATTCTACATGCATGCATGTTCCTGTATACAAACTAATGAGTTTTTCTTTTGAAAAAAATAATGATTTATAGACGGAGAGTCCTAAAAATCAAACCTACATACTGTATTTTCCAATCTTACACAAACACGCACTTGTTCGTTATCAAAATATAACCTAGTATTTGAAATCATAACAATGTTTTGGATTTGTAATTTTAATGAACATTAAACTAATGATAGTTTTAAGAATGACCAGCTGTAACCTTGAAAAACACTAGGGATTTTAGTTCTTGAAAAGAAATTTAATATATCTCATATACATGCTTCTCTCTCTGATATCGTTATGTTATAAGAACTTTTAATTTATTGTCATTTTGCTTTCTCCATGCTATAAGAACGAACATAATCTGAGTTTTCACCCATGAATTTTGCTGAACCCTAGAGTGTGTATAAAATAGTATTTGGGTTGATGGATTTGAATTTAGATTTTAGATTTAAAATCTCATCATTAAAATCTATGTATTTAAAATCATCTATATGTACAAAAAATTTTATAAGAAGACGAAAGATGAGTTGATATTTGAAGTAAAAACAAAAAGTTACCTCTATTCTTCAATCGGCAAGACATGAGAACAAGGAATCAGAGAAGAGCAGGAGTATGGAGGTACCGAAAGTAAAAATATAAATAGAACAAGAAGGTTGAATTGTTTAAAATTTCAAATAATTAGGATATAGAGGCAGGGATGGATCCAGAACTGAATCTATGGGGAGGAGGAAATTAGTTTTAACATTTTTACAAAGAAAAGCAATGTAATTTTTGAAGTTTTTTTGTGCTTGCCCCTCTAAATCCTTCCCTCTATATAGAGGAATTTTGAAATTATAAAAATTATAATAAAACATGAATTTGGATTTAAATCAAATTCAAATCCATAAACTTCATATAAGTATCGAAATAAAGTATCTGGTTTAAATCCAAAATTGAATTCCTATTAATCCAAACACAATATACAAGAATTTGATACCAAGCGCGTGTGTGTGGGGATTTGTACGTACCTCAGCAATAATGGTGATATCGAGAGCAGAATTTCCAAAAGGCAAGACACTATGACTGATTATGGAGAAATGAAGAGTGTGGAGCTGGGCCAACACGTTAAGAACAACGCCATTTTGATTTTCACAGTGGATTCTGATGAGAACTTCCTTTTGTAAAACTCTTGCTTCCACTTCAGGAAGTGCTTCGTTCATTCTGAAGTAATAATCAGAGCTCATTTCACACGACGTCGTGTCTTGAATCTCTTCATTATTATTGTGGTTGTTGCTATAAAGCTGGCTTGACGATGATGACTTCTTCTTCATCATCAGCATGTATGACACTGTCTCCACACTCATCTTCTTGTTCTGTTCCTCTAACTCTTTCACTCTCTCTTGAAGTTGCTTCACGTGAATTATCGCTTCGCTTAGTATCGATGCCTTGTCTATCTGTTAAACAACGTAAGATAATTCCAAAAAGATGACAATTTCAAAAAATCATGAAATTTGATCAGGACATGATGATGAAATGAATGAAACTGACCTTCTTGAGACCAGGAATTGTAGCTGAGAGTGCAATAAATTTCTCAGTGAGTTCTTGTCTTCTTTTTCTCTCGGCCATGATGTGATCCAGTGTCTCAGATGAACTTCTAGTCTTCTTTGTCGTCCCATGACTAGCTTTTGGCTCACTATTACGGTTTTCTAGAGTTCGTTTATGCGGGCCATGTGTGCCTCCTCCTCCTCCTTCTCCTCCACCAGCACTGTTACTCTCTAATTTCTCTTGATTATTAGCACTCTTCATCGCCGATTCTTGTTTCCGGTAACCATCATCGGACGTGGCCGGTAATACTGTTGAGTTATCAAAAGACAGAATATAAGTTGACGAGGACAACGAGGTTACAGGTTTGTCCGAGAAGCTACCAAGTTTCGAGAGGATCGAATTCGAGCTGTCAGGCTTCATCAGCCGACCACCAGCGGCCCCCCTGGAGTCATTATCGAAAGATAAGCTGCTAACAGTGGGGGTTGTGGCTGCGGCGGCGCCATCTAACGTGGCAGTGATGGTGTTTTTTTGAATAGACGAAGAGTGAGTACTGTCACTCTCGGAAGAGAAAGAAGGTTGGTGAAAGATCTCCCTAAGAAACTCATCATCATCATCAAAAGAGTTATTCTTGTGAGATTGATGGAAGAAATCAGTCTCATCCATATCCTAAGAACAAAATTAAACCGCAAAAATTAATTACAGAGATCGATCCATGAGAACTAAACAAGCATAAACATGTAGACATTCATCATCATCATGAAACCCTAAAACAGAATAGTACAGAGTTTTGGCCAAAAATAAAAAATAGTTCAGAGATAGATGAATGATTATTTACCAGATCTGAGAACCAATTCTGCCATGGAACCTCCATCGAAGTTGGGAATTTAGAAGAAAATAGACTGAATCCTCTGATGGTGATGTTTGTGAAGACTCAGTGATGTTGGCTCAATGAACCAGAGAATTGAGTTATATAATCCAAGGGTTTTCGGACGAGACATTCACATATGAAAACAAATGATGACTCGTTAAACATGCCACTTGTTTTTCCACCGTTGGATCATGTCCACGTAAGTGGGACCCCAATGAATGTTATAAAGGGCACACAGATAGGCCGCCTTCTTTATTTTGTCACTTTTATGATTTGATAGCTCTGAATTTCACGGAGGTGAATAATTCTCGTACGTGCAAAAATTATTAAACGAGTTTCGTAAAGTACTGGATTTGCACAGTTTTCTTTTGGACTTGCATATCATTCCGAGTTCATATCATTCCGAGTTCTGTTGTCAAGATTGTTAAGAAGAAAAATAGAAATAAAAATTGAAGGTTGTCTGCTTGGAGGTGTGAATGTTATATTATCTGCAACGTAAATGATTTAAAAAAAAAAAAACAGTTCAAATAACTTTGGGGATTGCCCTTTCAACTCCATATACCCTTGAAAGAATTAGGGCTTGTTTAATTTTCTATTTTCAAAATAGTCTTTTATTTTAAAAAATAAAATAAATAAATAAAACCTGTTTGAAAATGTGTTTTTTGTTATTTTTTCTGAAAAACAAAAAAAATTATAGGTTGTTTTGAACAATTGAAGAACTTGAACATTTTTTTTAATGTTTGTTACTTTTTATTTTGAAAAATTAGATAAGAGGCAGAAAAAATAATCTTGTCATTAATGACAATTAATATGTCAATAATAAAATAAATAATTTTACATCCATTGTTTCACCACTTTAGCTCTATATGTTAATAATAGAATAAAAATACTGTACAGAATTGTTTTAAGTAAAAACATAAAAATATAGGAGTAAAACATACAACAGCCTCTACTCACTATTAAAGTTGTCAATTAGAGTCAGCCCGACTCTAAAGGGCCGGCCCTTGAAGGGTTAGGGCCTAAATAAGCTGGCCCTAATAAGCCTGATTGTATGTCAGGGTTTTATTTTATAAAGTCCGGCCCTAGCCCTCAAGGCTAAAGGGCCAGCCCTCAGAGCCTCGGCTCTATTTTTTTAAAATTATTTTTTCAATTTAAAATTATAAAAATATATTTATAATCATAAAAAAGTTATTATACATAAAATTAAGTTTAAGAAAATAAATTTAAATTAATTTACACCATAACAATAAAGAAAACTAAAACATTTAAGTCTAATATCAAATAGTAATATCAAAGTGAATATCAATAAAAATTAAACTTAACTAATATTATCAGCTAAATCTTAATAAATAAATGAGGGATAGATGAATGCATTTAATATGTTCATTTCTTTGAGTTATATATTTAATCTTTTATTTTTTTTATATTATAATTTTTAAAAAAATAATAAAAGGACTTAAAAGGGCCTGCCCTAGCCCTAAAGGGCTGGCCCTTTTAAGCCCGAATTGTCATTTTTCCTTCCAAAACAGCAGCTTGACCCTAGCTATTTTCAGGCTTAAAAAGGTTGGTCCGAAGAGTTCGGTCCTAATTGACAGCTCTACTCACTACCATGGGTGGTGCTACCTTGAACTCAAGGGGGCAAATGCACCCCTTGGTTTGGAGAAAATTACAATTAAGATCCATGTATTTCAATATATGTTGCACCCCTTGATTTAAATATTTTGCACCCCTTAATTCAACTTTATAAATTTTGGATTCAAAATTTTTCAATTGTTTTAAAATCATTAATTTTAAAAATATTGTACCCTATAACTAAAGGCCCTAGCACTGCCACTGCTCACTACTATCTATGAGAGAGAGAAAGAGAGTCTACTCAAATTAGCATGAATAGTAGCAACTCTTGTCCTTTATATCAATTCTCAACCCTTTACGATTAAAAAAAAAAAATTGTAGCCAGGAGATTAGACTTCATACCAACCAAAAAAAAAAAAAGCCAGAGAGAAAGTGTGCGCGCTTAATTAGTATGGATTCTTTTCATTCAAGGTAAACGAATTATTTGCATAAATTTTATCAACAAATTTAAATATTTTTATTAAATATAAAAAATATTTTCAATAAATTTAGATCACTTGAATTGATTGGATCATAAAAAAATTATTTAAAATTAATCAATTTTCCATTCAAAAATTGAGAGAATAAACTCAAGATATATTTATTTAAAGCTAGGAATTTAGATGAAAATAGATTAAATCCTGATTATGATAATGTTTTTTGAGTGATATTCGCAGTTTTGCAGAATGAACAAGAGAATTGAGTTATATAGTCTAAATTCCAAAGAGTGATTATAAAAAAGAAAAAGAAAAAAGAAACGACTCGTTGAACATGCCACTTGTTTCCCCCCCCCCCCCAATTCATCACCATTTTCACCTTGGTGTGGGACCCTTATATATGAATTGAAGGGCACAACAAAGCTTTTAATTTGTTCATAATTTCGTCCCTTCTTGATGTGGTACAACTGATCAATTTTGCAGTTGTGAACCTCGTGCACAAATTAATAATTATTGAAGAGTTACTTTCAAACCATTCTGAGATTATAATTGCCAAGATTGGTCAGATAAACAATCAATAATTGATAGAGAAAAGTGTGAGTGTTACAATATAACTTCAATGATTCGTATTATTTTGAAAATGAATAGTAGGAACCTTCATCCTTTAAGCAAGTAGTTAACGATTTGGTGATGAACTTTATATATATATATATATATATATGGAGATTGGAGAGTAAATATGATTGAGATTACTCTTTGCCCTCCATACCTCAAAAAAAAAGTAGTTTCTACTATTAGTGAAAGATGCTTTTCGTCCCACCGTTAAAAAAAACAAAAAAAAACAAAAACAAACAAACAAAGAGGAAGATCAACTCAAATTAACAAGATTGGAGATTCGATTTTCAAGTTTTATGAATGGAATAAATCTATTTACGAGGAATTTATATATTTTTTATTAAATATAAATATTTTAACAAATTTAGATCACTTGAATTGATTGGGCGATCAAAATTTATTAGAAATTAATCAATTTTTTTCATCCAAAATTTAGAGAATGAGCTCAGCATTGATTTAAACTCCATGAAAATTCATTATTTGCAATTTACACACCCACAACCGTATGTTATGTATGAATGTATAGGTGTGAAATTATAACTTAACAAAATGTTTGGTTCAATTAATTGAAAGAGTTAAATCAGTTTATCCTAAAATCTTGAATTCAATGCAGTAGCATCAAATAAATGTGTCAAATGCATTCCTGAGATATCCAAGCCATCATTGGTAATAGCAATTATAGTGGGAGTTTTGGATTAGTCTAAGTAGATATACCTAGGTTGCCATTGGTAAGAATGACCTCACATGGTGTTGATTAGTTTGGGTGGATAATGATAATGCTTCCAAATTTTTCAAGATATCAAGTGATGAAATTAAAAAAAAAACTCAAAATTTGTCATATTTAGCTAACTTCCACAAGGTACTCTGATTAAGGGCTAGTTTGACACCCATAATTGATTCCATCAATGGAGGGAGTACTTTATAATATCATAGTCTATCCATCACTTCCTTGCTCTTCACACTCTCCCATTTTCCAATTTTTTAATGTTCTCCAAAAGTAGTAGGCAGGACTGGTGGCCTTTTGTCTCACCATCTTCTATTTTTCAAAAAAAAAAACAAATTCTAAAATATTTTAGTTTATCAATTAATCATGGCTTCTTTCACTTCATCAACTTTAATCTAGCAAATCATCACGAGGGTTGTCTCGCAAACAATAATCTCACAAAAGAGTTTGTTATATCGGTCTATCACCAATTCACCATATATATATAACTTTATATAATTATATTTATAAGATATTTTTAATCAATTCACACAAATTAAAAAAGATTTATAGTTAAAATTAGTCAAGAGTGTTGATTTTTTTAAAAAAAAATATTTATATAAAAATCCCAAATTATCCTTAATTAAAATTATTAACTTTATTTTTAAATTTTAAAATCAGGCATGTCATCCAAACAAACCAATTGGATATGTGTGCATTTTTGGAAATAACTCATTAATGCTTAATCAAGTTTTATAAAGTGTCTTATATTAAGAACTAAGCAAAGTTTCTATTTATGAAGGAGGCACATACTCTCAACATCTGAAATATGGAAAAAACGACAGTCTACCTTAGTCATAGGAGATTTCTTAATCGGTACCACCCTTATCGCAGATTAAAAAAGACTTTTAATGGCTCACAAGAGTATGAGTTTGGTCTGAAAGCATTAACTGGGGAGCAAATTTATCAATGGGTAGAGATGATTAATGTAATCTTTGGTAAGAATCGAAAGATTACAAGTGAGAAGAGTTTGTGGAAAAAGAAGTCTATCTTCTTTGATATGCTATATTGGCAGTGTCTTAATGTGAGGCATTGTCTTGATATGATGAATATGGAGAAAAATGTTTGTGATAGTCTTGTGGGCACACTCCTACAAATTAATGGAAAGACTAAGGACGGGACAAATGCTAGACTGGACTTAGCTAAGATGGGAATAAGAGAATGATTATTTGCTCAACGAGAAGAGGGAAAGAGGACTTATTTGCCTCCTGCGGCCTACACACTTTCAAAAAAGGAGAAATTAAGCTTATGTAAGTGTTTACATGGTATTAAAGTGCCACAAGGATATTCTTCTAATGTGAAAAATCTTGTGTCGATGAAAGATTTGAAGTTAATAAGCTTGAACTCTCATGATTGTCATGTATTAATGCAACAACTATTACTGATAGCTATTTAAGGCATATTGAAAGATGATGCAAGGCATACAATTACAAGTTCATGTAGTTTCTTCAATTCTATTTGCAGCAAAGTTATTGACCCTGATAAGTTAGATGAATTGAAAAATGAAGGTTATATCATTTTGTGCCAACTAGAAATGTACTTTCCTTTAACTTTTTTAGTATTATGGTGCATTTAATTGTTCACTTGGTGAGGAAATAAGGCTCTGCAGTCCTGCCTATCTTAGTTGGATAAATCCATTTGAACGTTACATGA